CCAGTCTGTGAAAAGAGAAGCTGAATACAGATTAGATGAAGATTTATCCTGCTTTCAGCTTTGTTCAGTATTGTAATGCCTGTCAGACCCATGAGATCTGATGAGTTTTCATTGGACCAATCAGCAAGATGGCCTCTAAACAGTCATTCCTTTGAGGATTATTTTAGCCATGGTTTGTTCAATATGTGGGAAGGTAAAAACACGGCACTTTTTTGTGCTGGATCAATGGCTTTGCTGAAGATGGCATTATAATCATAAAGCAACAGCATGAATCATAAAATCACGAAATAAAAGTCATGTTTATAATGTCCAGTGTTTGAATATATTTGTTAATATTTGCAGAACAGTTTATGAATTATAATTTTTAATTATATAATTGTGACTAATTGATCATTTGATGATTTGTGATTCACTTTCTGAAATTCACTTTTTATGAAAGTAGCTTTATTACAAAGTATGACAGTATTGGTAAAAGATTTCAAAATGTCTCTTCAGAAACAAATAAAAATGCCTGACTTCAAAATTATTTTCTAAACTCTAAAAGTTTGAAAATAGCTTGAAAATATTATACTCAGCTTCATTGAGATTTAAAAGAAAAGTGTTCATCTTGTAAAGATATTTACATGTTTATACTAAGATAAATTATGTAACAAAATTTAAGGAACATTTCTAAAGGGGTTTTATTTCACCCTTGTTGCATTTTATAAGAGAAAATGCCTTGGCTTTAAAGTTAGTGACACACTTTCAAAAGCCCAGAGAAGAGACCTTAAAACCCAAAGTATCTATTTGATGGCAAAATATGTTGTCAACTCCCTCGGGTTTAAACACAAAGTCCTGGAGAAACTCAAGCAGGTTTGGCAGCATCGATAGAGAGAAAAGTGGATTTAAGTTAGTTCATCAATTAGTTCATAGGATCCCTACAGTGTGGGCCCTTCAGCCCAACAAGTCCACACTGAGACTCAGAGCATCCCACTCAGACCATCCTCCTAATCTACACATCCCTGTACACTATGGGCAATTTAGCATGGCCAGTCCACGTAGCCTGCACATCTTTGGATTGTGGGAGGAAACTGGAGTACCCAGAGGAAACTCACGCAGACATGGGGAAAATGTGCAAACTGCACACAGACAATTGCCCAAGGGTGGAATTGAACCCGGGTCCCTGGCGCTGTGAGGCAGCAGTGCTAAGCACTGAGCCACCATGCCACCCTGCCCCACTTCTGATGAAGTGTCACTGGACTTTGCTTCTGTCTCTACAGATGCTGCAGACTTACTGAGTTTCTCCAGCACTTTGTTTATGTTCCAGATTTCCATCATCCATAGTTCCTTGCCTTTACCTTAATGGGTTGGTTTTGTTCCCTAGGCAATTCCTAGAGTGATGTATGTACATTTTTGTTATTGGCCTTTTGAGTTCCCACAGCAAACATTATTAAAATTACTTTTTTTAAAATTCTGATTTGAAAATAAATTATAAATTGTCAAAATAGTGTCACTGACCAAATCTTGGGGAGGCAATAGGGGTCTTAGTATCTCTTTTCAGGAGGCCTGCTGTATCATATCCCATTCAGGCACTTAGAACAGGAGCAGGCTTTCCCTTGACCAAGAACTTCTGGGACTTGGACCACCCCCACAAATTTAATTGTTGTGTTTCCATCTGGCATTAAGTTGATACCACCAGTGATGGGATAAGATTTCTAAGTGTGTATTAATTTCCCACTTAAGGGCCTCAATTGACAATGGATCAAGAAGGTATCCATGGGCCATCCTACTGTGGACTAGGTTCAGATGAAGGCCAGAAACCTGGCACCCTGCCAACTGATAAAGGGATCCCACCCAACCACCAAACTCACCACAGGGAAGCGTACAAGATTCCACCCAATGAAAACACAACAAAAGGATAGATTCTAATAGTAAAAGTTTGTCAATATATTAACAATTTTTTTGATTAAGTTTAACCAAAAATGATTTGGATAACATAAGTAGAATTGTATTTGCATTGCAGAAGTAATAGTTTCTACAGTTTGGACAGTTAAAGTATTTTAAAGGAATGGTAACTCCAGTAATGGTTGATGTAAGGCTCACCAGTTTTAAGCTAAAGGACCATCATAGAGGAAGTGCCTACTTAGATATAATGAAAAGCGCTCTGGATAGTTTATGGTTAAGAAAACAACCAACAAGTTTAATTTAGCCAGGACATGATCATGAGTCCTCTTTATATCAAATTATTCAAAATATTCAAATTTGCATCAGCCTCAATTTAGTAGCATAAACAACTATTTGCAATCCTGACAGTGTTTCAGCCTGAAATGTTGACTTTCCTGCTCCTTGGATGCTGTCTGACCTGCTATGCTTTTCCAGCTCCACATGCATTGACTCTGCATTTATATAGTGCCTTTAATATAATAAACAGCCCAAGATGTCTTCAAGGAGCATAAATTGGAAAAAATGCATTCCCAGTTAAAAGGAACTGGTATTAAATAGGGATGACCACCTTCTTTGCTTTTATGTTTTCTGCATTTGTGCTAATATAATTAAAGCACAAGGTCATTGAGAATCAATCCCAGTAACCTTAAATTTGAAAATGCCTGTAAACAAACTATATTTTCAATTAAGTATGAAACGGCTGTACTTGTTCATGGTAGTGAAGCAAGTGGGAGTGATATATGTTTGGAAAAAGCACATTTAGTACCCCACATCAACATTCCTCTGAAAGAATGTTATTACTTTACATTTCTATCTTCAGTTTCAGCCAAGGGGAGGTGAGAATGGCTACTTTGACATCATTGCAATCTTTGATCAAATTGAATTCACTGGGAATCATAGTAAACTCACTATTATCTGAAGTCATCTCTATCTCAAAGGACACGATTGTTGAAGGATAGTCATCTAAGCCCAAGGATAACTTATCTCAGGGCTATATCTTAAGCTTTTTCTTTTAAAAAAAAAAGCTGCTTCATCAGTGGCCTTGACTGCATACAAAGTCAGAAATGGGGAAGTTTACTAGTGATTGAACAATATTCAGCTCCATTCAGTTTTAAAACAGTTGTTTAAGATTTGGCTAATGCCCTCAAGGAGTTCAATTCTATTACTTCTTTTTTTCTGAGCACTCTCAGCAGTTTGCAGGTCCATTGATTGTTTATCCCTGTTTTTTTTTTGAAGATATGAATCACATCTGCTTTTCCCAATCTCTAAGGTTTAGTGTGTCTAGTGCACTCTGAACAATATCTGCACAAGAACTTACCATTGTTTGAGCTTTTTGTCTGGGGACCCAAGGATGAAAGCTATCGGAGCCAGGAGACTTGCCAACCTTGAACTTCAGCATCCTGTCTCCCCTCTTTTACTTTAAATGTGTACATTTACTTTTGATACATTTACTCAATTCTAATATTCCTTAACACTATCAACTTAGGTTTATGGTGATTTTTAAATCAATCATTTGGACCTGTTATATGTCTGGCCAGGTGGGACTTAAACCCAGATACTACAACTGTGTGACAAGACCCCAATTTACACTTAGTTATTTAACATCAACCCATTCAGCTGTATTATGATAACTCTAAGTAGATGAAACTTGAACCCAAGCCTTTGTGCTCAGAGGTGAGAGCACTACCATTGTGCCACAAGACCCTGACTTACATCTATATGGTAATTTAAAAGTCCCAAGAAAATTTCATGAGGGTAATCAGATAACTTACTTCATGAATTTGCCTTTATTCAGACAACATTCCCATTGACATGGAGTTGGAGTTGGATAAATCCATTTTAAAAGCTTTTTTTCCTGGCATATTTGAACAGTTTTATGGAAAGCAAATACTACAACTCTAGGAAATCAGAAATAAAAGTGGAAATACACCATAATTCTGGCAACATCTGTGAAGAGAGAAACAGTAGGCAGAATTTATTGTTTCTAGCCACCCCCCCCACCCCCCCAAAGAGGCTAGGCACAGGTGGGATACAAAACGGTTAAAGACAGAGGATAGAGAATCCATTGCCTTTCCTGAATTATCTCAGAAAGTATCAAGGATGGTCTTATCTGGTGATCAGCTGAGGTCCTTAAATGGTCTTTAAATACACCATTTCAGAGCTCCAGCCTATCACTGCTGGAACTTACCTGCATCAGGGGTGGGAAAGGGGACTCTTTCCTCTCAAGCAAGCTACAAGATCCCCCTAATGGCAGGAGGAGGGGTTTCTTTCAACTCAGGCATGAAAGAGTAGTATCTTGGAGAAAACATGTGCCCTTTTAACTGACTTATCTCTGTAGGATGTGCCTGCCTGGCCGCAATTAGTTTACTCCTTGATCTCTGGGTTCCAATACTCCATAGACGAAGCTGTGGCTTATGGTAGTACTGGCAATGGTACCTCAACCATTTCCAGGAGTTCCAAATGTGAATTAAAGCTAGGTTGCAATCATCCAACTCCAGTCAGGAGACCACCCCCCACTGTGACTATTAAACCCACCCCATATTAATGTACATTGCCCCATTATGTGAATTTTATTTTAAGCTAGCTTTTCCTTCTCATTCTTTGCAACCCTTGTCAGTTTATATTTACAAATCACTTGGTTTGTTGGTTTTATTTTTGTAATGCTTTCAAAGCTTTGTTACTAAACCTAACCAGTTGATTATACTTCTGCTAGCTATTGTTTTTCAATCACATAGTCCATTTCTTTCCATGCCTCACTCTGCACTGTCATATCATTTCTCATCATTCTACCTATTCTGATGTTTTGTACAATAATTTTAACTTCCATTGTAATGTTTTCAGCAATAACTACAAGAAATGTATATACAATGAAGATTTGAGTTGATATTTACTTCCCCACAATTACCAAATTCATTTGCAACGTTGTTGTAACTCATTATGGTGTGGATGAGCAGCAGTTTTTGCCATGGTCAGTTGTCTTTGTGGTATAAAATTGGTTGGGAGGTTTTGTTTAAACAACAAAAAATGAAAAAAGATTACAAATTATTCAAAGTAATGTGAAACCAAAGGCAAAAGTGTTTATTTTACAAAAATGTTTATTTGCAACACTGGTGATCTCTAACACTTCAACAAAAACCGACATCATAGCACTGCAGTAGATGAAGGTAGCAATTGACTGTTCTGCATCCACTACAGGAAGCTTGCACTGTCCATATAAATGCAAGATACTATGTTAGAGCAAGTCCAGCATGCCCATACAAATATAAAATGGTTCAACTGATCAGTGCAACACAGTGCAAAATATGCAAACATTTAACAATACTGAACATCAGTAAAAAATATCAACTTTTAAACTCAGTTTTAATCTAGTACCACTTGCAGCTAAACATGTTAAACGTAGAGTATCTGATGCCTAAATTTGTTACTATCTTCACCTTCTTCTGAAAAATTTACACATACGCATTTCATGCCTTCATTTCCTTTCCCTCAGACCACCACCCCCTATGCACTTTCCTCACTGTACCATCACCACTTGCTTTTAATTGTCCTCATCCATAATCAAAATGTCTACTTCTAACAGTGGTACCAGTAAAATAAAAAAAGGACAATGGGAAAACTGTGAGAAAGTGTCCATTGTGTACCCTTTGCCTACTGCACTACCGACTTAACGTATTGGATGCTAAAGTAGGCCTTATATATACACACACACAATATTCTGAATCCAAAATAATTAGTGAAGTTCAAGTTATTAACAAAGTTGTATTTAGAGAAATACTTCCATTGCTGGCTTAGTAGCACCTATTAAGTCTTAATAGATCACTAGTCAGAAAATAGCAGAAAAATTGCCCTTAAAAAGCAAGTTTGGCATTCAAAAATCAACATTCTTCAACAATTAGTCCCACAGAAGAATATAATTTTCTTTTGACTAATCTGAAGCCTGGACTAAGTTTCAGCACCCTTCTTGACGCATGCGTGAAACAGGCCCCTATAGCAAAGAAATCACTCAGACTCGGCCAGCTGTTGTTATCTTGTTTAAAAACTAGAGTCAGTTCGAAGGTAGGAATGACACTGCTGTCATACACAATTTTGCCCAGCTTCTTACTTGTGTTCTCATGCTCCAGATTGACATAGATCACTGCACCACGCAGTCCACAGGGCTCATTGGCAGCCATTCGAAGTACATCTCGGGCTATTCTCCTACTCATGTACTGGGGGATCAAGAGCTCTTGGCAGTGAAGCTGAGATTTCTTTGAAGTAGACAAGCAGTGCTCTATCTGTTTAGCAAGATAATGGCATGTCCTTTCTTCTAAGAATTCCTCCAGAAAAATAAAGTCATTGCCAGATTGATTCAAGAAATAGGCATCTGAAAAGCAAAAGTATTTATATGTGAAGATCTTTGAAATATATTTTTTTAGGTAATGTATATCTACAGAGGTACAGTTAGAAGTAGATCTTATCCAAATGTCTGTTGAAGTCAAATATTGATTTCAGTCTTCTAAAGTTCACATCCTATTCCCAAAAAACCAGTAAAGAATTGTGGTATCACCTTCAATATTAGTATTATCTTCCAAAAATGAAGACATTCGAATGATTTTCAAAGAATATCCTAAGAGCCAAAAGTCTGATTCGCTTGTAGTTGTCATTTTAAAGCAATTATTACTCCACATCATCTCCATATACAAGAGTGCTTCTATTATACTTCCTAAAAAATAAAGCAATGCCACAATTCAGAACATTTTCCTCTTGCTAAGCAAAGGTTTTATTTAAAGTTTAAATTGCTGCACAGTGCACTTATTGGTAGTGCTATTGCAGTATTTAACAATATTCCTGTAAATATGATTTAATAGGGCATTACCATATTTAATTTCAAGTTTGTAGTTTCTGCTATGGACTATCCATTTAACAACTCCACAGAAATCTTTATGTTGCTCGTCGAAACTATTAAAATGGAGCATTAATTGCTATCTGTCAAACTGGAACTTTGATATAGCAATTCAGTTTTACAGCATTTAGAATGGTTATGTTCAATGCTTGAGAGAGGCAAGCGGTTAATATTTATTATTGTGCAATCGCTATACCTTTATTCTGAATTCTCGATTCTAGAATAGCGGTGATGTAACTGATTAGTTTGAATCAGAATTCAGATGGAAGATATTTTACAGAAAAAATGTAAAAAAAAACGCACGTTACTTCACAGTAGGTTTGACAGAAAAAACAAACCTCATTTAAAAGGAAACACGTCAGGGTTTGGTCAGAATAAAAGATTCCCATAATTCAGTTTTAAGATTGCAGCAGTTCATCTAATAGGATATGCTAATTGTTAATTTGGACCGATTTAGGAAAAGTTGATGAATTGAGAACATTTATAAAAGAATCCTGAGCTGCTGAAAATGTCATGGCTTTAGTCACTTAGTATCGACTTGTTGCAATAAGCCCCAACAAGAACAAAGCGACCGAGCGACCCCATCAGCTCACCTGATCCAGGAATAAGGCTTTCGTCATCTGTGTTATAATGTCTCTCAAAAGGGATTTCATCATGTTTTATCTTTTTTGAACTTGTTACCGCTTCGCCTGCGAAGCTATGGTGAAGGAGTTTCTTCATCAACTGGACTACACTATCCCCTTCATCGCCTGTAGGACTTGTCCTTTTACTGTAAACATTTGTGCCCCCAAATCTCTGAACGTACATCATCACCATCACTGCTGAGTGATGTGTCCCACTGTGTCCAGCCAGTTCTTACCCCTCTCGTTAGCGGTACCGAATACAGATCGCAGCTGGCAGCAGCCACCGCTTTCTACTCGAACGTTGCATCAGCTGTTGAGAGGCACATGATTTGATGTCAAGCGAGAAGATGCCCCACCCATCGCACTCATTGGCTGTCCTGTCAGAATTGATACATTGTTCAACCAATAAGAGAATTGTTACTACGTGCCGCGATGAGTCCGAGATACAGAGGAGAAGCCTCTGGGACTTCTCACTGACTGCAAGACTAGCTGATTGCTAGAACCTGGCAACTCTTTTCCCTGCTTTAAACCAATCAGCTAAGGTTTTATTTTAGTACTATTTTGTATTGAAGCAGTCTGTTCTGTACTTTTCTTTGGGATTTTTTTTTATGTTCAACTGTCCACTATTTTTCTTATTACATATATCGATTAGTTTTTTAACAGATCCAAAAATAGTTTATAAATCGATTGTGACGTTAACATAGTTTAATAACAATATTCAGTTTCTGACTTTCTGGTGAGGTTAAGGGACATGTCTGTTGGTGGGTATATTTGTGGAAAGTATATAGCATATGCATATGCAATGGCGCATGGACCATGTGGAGGAGATCTGAAATTTGTAATACCTGTGCAGCTGGCAGTGGTGATGGTTGAAGGAGCGGGGGGAGGGGCGCGCATATGTATAGAGGCTACCATGGGTGCAGAAAAAAGTGGAGAATTGCTTTGGCCACAGAGATTGTTTCATGAAGAATGGAGTTGATCGGACGTTCAGGGATAGCAAAAGTGGAATGGAACTGACCTGGGAGGGGATGAAATTTGAAAGGGTTCAGAGAAGATTTACAAGGATGTTGCCAGGTTGGAGGGTTTGAGCAATAGGGAGAGTCTGAATAGGCTGGGGCTATTTTCCCTGGACCATTGGAGGCTGAGGGGTCGCCTGATAGAAGTTTATAAAATCATGAGGGGCATGGACAGGGTGAATAGTCAAGGTCTTTTCCCCAGGATAGGTGAGTTGAAAACTAGAGGGCATAGGTTTAAGGTGAGAGGGGAAAGATTTAAAAGGGACCTGAGGGAATACTTTTTTGACACAGAAGGTAGAATGTATGGAATGTATGGAATGAACTGTCAAAAAAAGTGGTGGAGACTGGTACAATTACAATACTTAAAAAGCATCTGAATGAGTACATGAATAGGAAGGGTTTAGAGGAATATGGGCCAAATGCTAGTAAATGGGACTGAATTAATTTAGGATATCTGGTCGGCATGGACGAGTTGGACCAAACGGTCTGTTTCTGTGCTGTACACCTATTTAACTCTTAAGTGTGACAAAATGATGGGCACAATTGATATAATTTATTCTTCAGAAACTATTTGTTCTAAAAATTAAGATTCACCAGATTTGAAAGAAAAAAGTTTTGAAAAAGATAACAATATGCCTTGACTGTGCTGGAAACATTTCCTCTTTGAAGCTGGCCTGTTGTTCAGTTACAATCTTTCATCGAGTCTACCCTGCCCAGCTCCATTCTTGCCCCATTGAAGTCAGCTCACCACCAGGTGATTTTTTTTTTTTTTTTTTTTTTTCTTTTCCTAGATTAACCATTATCATTCTCCACCATCATCCTACCCTCATGATACAATGATCTCTGTCTCCTAAATATTTCCCCAGTAACACTTGATCCACTTGGCCCACCTCATTTTCAAGTATGAGGTCCAGTAGCACAGTTTTCTTGTTGGACAGGACATTGTGTTCAGAACAAATTGTTAAAACTATCTAGGAACACTTGCACCTCACTGCCCTTACAGTATCCCAGTCTATATTTGGGCAATCACAGTATCTCATTATATTCTGCTCTGTACCATTGACATATCTCTGTAATTTCCCTGCAGATTTGTTCCCCTACATCTTTCCCAATAGTTGGTGGTCTGTAGACCACCTTTTTTTTTCCTTAGCTCCAGCCAGATTGACTCGTTTTTGTCTTGGATCCCTCTAAAACACCCTCTTTCTCTAGCACGGAAATTGCTTTTTAACCAATAATACCACTTCTACTGCGTTCCTTCCTTTGCAAACTTTTCTGAATCCCTTGTACCCAGGAAAATATAACACCCAGTCTTGCCCTTCCTTGTGCCACTCCTTATCCAATACTAACCACCTCTCCTCCTTTCCTTCCTTTGCAGTCCCTTCTGAACTCTGTGTACTAAGAAATATTTAACACCCAGTCTTGCCCTTTCTTATACCAGGTCTCTGTTATCACCATAACATCATATTTTCACATGACAACTTGTGTCTCTAACTCCCCAAACTTATTTACTATACTCCATACATTCACATGCATGCTCGGTAACCCTAATTTAGACTTGATTAAATTTTCCCTTACTCTTACTTCACCTAGTAACTTACTGCTCTCTATGCTACTCCTATCTGTCTCCCTCACTATTTTGTGAACCCTGGTATTCTTGTCTTGCAGAATCATAGAGTTGCACGGAAACTCAACCCCTCATGCGCACACTAGTCATCAACCATCCATCTATTCTAATCTAATTTTTCAACAATTGGTTCTAGCCTTATGCTATGCTGTTTCAAATGAAGGTTTAAAAGTCTTAAATGTCTTGAGGGTTCCACCCTCTACCACTCTTTTAGGCAATGAGTTCCAGATGCCTGCAATCTCTAGATTGGAAAAAAATCTCAAGTCTCCTTAAAACTGTGCCCTAGTTATTGACCCCTCTACTAAAAGGGAATTTTTCTCCCTACCTACCCTGCCTATTTCCCTCAGAACTTTGGACACTTCAATCAGATCCCCTTTCAGTCTTCTCTGCTCTAAGGAAAACCACTCCAGCCTACTTAGTCTCTCTTCATGGCCAAATCGCCCAAACAACATCCTGGTGAATCTCCTCTGCACCCTCCCTAGTGTAAACGCATCCTTCATACAGTTTATGACCAAAACTGCGCACAGTACTCTAGCTGTGGCCTAACAGATGTTATACACAGCTCATCATAAAATCCTTGCTCTTGTTTTCAATGCTTGACTAATTACGCCACCTATCCCTTAACCATGGCTTAACCATCTTATAGACCTGTCCTGCTGCTTTCAAGGATCGATGGACATGCACACCAAGGACCCTCTGATCCTCTGTACTTGCTAGGGTCCAATCATTCAATCTGTGCTTCCTTGCCTTGTTAGTCCTCCCAAAATACATCACCTCTTAATGTTCTGTCTTGGTGAAATGCCTCACCCTTTAATATTCTGTGTTACTTCTCACACTCCTGCCAAGTTACTTTGTTAATTGCAAATGTTTTGTGGACTTCTGTTAATATATAGAAATTGTAAATAAGAACATTTTTATATGTTCAAAATCACTTTTAAATTTTATGAGGAAACATTTAAATTTTCAACAATTGTTTTGGACTATTTAGTGGCTAACTTCTGGACCAAGTTTGACACTTAAATTTATAATGCATTAATTACGTGATTTATGTTCTATATTCTAATTTTTTTGCATGATAGAATTCATATATTTTGATAAATGTACTGAACAACAAATGTATAAATAATAATAAGCATTTCTAGATTCTTTCCATTTGATTTCAAGTATTCCTATATCAGTTTTAATTTGTTCTTGAAAATGTGAATATTGACAAAGATGCACCTAATTTTTTTTTTCTGTGTTATTTCATGTGACGAGGTCGACATTTGTTGCCCATGTGTAATTAACCTTGAAATGAGTGGCTTGCTAGACTGTTTCAGAAGTTAGATAGGAGTCAACCACATTACTGTGGATCTGGAGTCACATTCGGTCACACCAGATAATGATGGCAGATTTGCTTTCCTAAAGAACATGAGTAGACCAGGTTAGTTTTACAAAAATCAATAGGTTTATGACACCATTGCTGACACTAGCTTACTATTTCAGATTTATTAATGGTGAAGTTTGAACCTGTGCTGCAGACCCTGATTATTACTCCAGTGATATTACCTCTGCACCACCACCTTCATTTTGTGTTATGTTCCTACTTTGCTTGAAGTGCTGATGAACCTTTTTGAACCATGGAGGCATAGAAAATAGAAGCAGGCATAGGCCATTTGGCCCTTCAAGTTTGCTCCACCAATTGTTGCAATTATGGCCATAATCCTTGAACCCTTTAACCCCAAGAGCTATATCCAACTCTTTCTTGAAATCATACAATTATTTGGCTGTTTTTTGTGGTAGCAAATTCCATAGACTAAGCATTCTCTGGGTCAAGAAATTTTTCCTCATCTCAGTCCTAAATGATTTAACTGTATCCATAAACCATGGACCCTGGTTCTGGACTCCCACGTCATCGGGAACATTCTTCCTGCATCTACCCTGTCTTGTCCTGTCAGAACTTTATACGTTACCTTAGTACTACAAGCTATTCTAATATTAGTTGTGTATCCTTGATGATGTAAATGGGGAATTCCACAATTTTGACCAAACACCAAAGAAGAAATGTGGGGTAGATGTCCAAATAAGAGTGGTGTGTATCTTAGAGGTAATGATGCTTCCATACAGTTGCTGTTCTTGGCTTTCTTGCTGTAGATGTCTTAATATATGAACTGTTGTTGAAGTTAGATTGGCAAGCTGTTTGTTTATATCTTCCTGCTGGTAAAAGGATAGAAACAATACTTTGATGCTAGGAGGGTGGTTGTCGAAGTAAAGGCAGGATTCTAATTAAAAAGAGTTCTCTGTCTCAGATAATGTCAAACTTCAACAGTATCGCAACAAGGTGGTAGTATTCTCCAATGTTGGAGATGGTGATTCAGTATTGAGGAGTTTCACATTAAACTACTCAGACTCCCCAGCTTCATCAGTGAGCATCTACATGAAGACGATGAGGTATTATTCCGGCTACCAGGATGCTTTAAACTTTTATGAACCCCATTGGCTTTGGACAAAACTAAGTCTCTGTATCTGAAAGTGCGTATCATTCAGAACGAAACAGATGAACTGAAAGTGCAAATAGAAATAATTAAGTATGGTCAGATAGCATTACAGAGGAATAGTTGAATATTGAAGAATACAGAACACCTAGGAAGGACAAGAAGCCAGGAAAAGTTGGAGGCTGGTTCAATTAATTAATGATGGTGTTAGCAAAATACAGAGGAATGACCTAAGTTTATGAGACCAGGAAACAGAAACAGTTTGGGTCAAAATAAGAGATGACGATAGGAAGAAGCCACTTTGGAAGTAGTGAACAGGCCCTCTAACACTAACCAAGCAGTAAGATTGAGTGTAAAGGAAGAAACAATGGGAGCTTATCAGGCGGGTATGGTGGTAATCATGGGGGATTTTGATCTAAATAAAGACTGGAAAAATCACCTGGGTGAAAATAACCTAGAAGAGATGTTTATTGGATGTTTTTTATCATAATTTCTTTGATCAGCATGCTCTGAAGCTGGCCAGTGAGCAGGACATACTCAACCTGGTAATGTGCAATGAGAAAGGATTGAATAATGGCCTCATTGTGAATGTGCCTGTAGGGTGACGGGAACATAATATGATTGAATTTTATATTCAGATTAAGGGGAAATAGAATATACAAGGTCCAAGATTAGACTTTTAAACTTAAAAAAGGGCAACAATGAGGGCATGAAAGCAAAGTTAGGTAAAATAAGCTGGCAAATTAGGTTAAGGGATAGGTCAATGGAAATGCAGTGACAGATATTTAATGAGATAATTCAGAATACACAAAATATAAATTCCAATGAGAAAGAAAAATTCCAGGGGGATGACTAACCATGCATAGTTAACTAAAAAAGTTAAAAATAGTATCAGACTTAAGGAAAAAGCTTATTAATATGCAAAGTTGAGTGACAAGTCAGAAGATTTAATATATATTAAAAAAACTAAAAATTGAATAAGAAGGGAACAATTAGAGTACAAGAGAAAGTGAGCTAAATTAGATAATTGAAAAAGAAGAGTGAACATTGGTCACTTAGGGATTTTGTATCAGCCCTCACTGTAGGACCTAAAGAAAATTACAATGACCAGGGAAACGATGCTGAGGAAGTTGTTGGGGGTACTTGCTAACAGTCCCCTAAGATCCTTTAGCATCTTAAAAGAAGTGGCTAATGTGATACTTGATTAATTGTTTCCAATTTTCCAAAATTCCCTTGATTAGGGGAAGATTCCATTAGATGGGAAAATAGCAGATGTAGATCCTTTATTAAAAGGGAATGGAGACAGAAAACAGGAATCTACAGGCCTGTAAGCTTAACATCTGCCATAGGTAAAATGTTAATGTGTTAGAAGCAGTTCAGAGAAGGGTTACTAGGTTAATACCCAGAATGAGCAGATTGGCTAAACAGGCAGAGTCTTTATCCTCTGGAGTTTAGAAGAGTCAGATCTGAGGTAATTGAAACACAAACTTCTGAGGGGACTTGTTCAGGTGGATGTTGAAAAGATGTTTCCCTCTTTTGAGAAAGTCTAGAACTCGAAGTTATAGTTAAAAATAAGGAGGCACTCATTTAAATCAGAGATAAAGAAACGTTATTGAATGGCAGAGCAGGCCGGAAGGGCCAGTGACTTATTCTTATTCCTTATTCGTATGTTTGACATATACTTGAATGGCAGAGTAGGCCCAAGGAACTGAATAAATTACTTCTTTTTCTGTTGGATGAGGTAGTGCTTTATAATGCAAATATTTGTAATGGAAATAAATACTTCTAAAATTTGAAATGATTGGCTCCAATTCAGTCATCTGACTTTCTTGAATATAATATTTGATTGGTTTGAATTTAGATATACTAGGAAAATAGACTTCATACTAAACCTTTGAAAGACTGAGGCGTAATGATCAAACTGTCAAATGCGATAGCAGATTATTGAGAATATACATTATGCTTAGTTTTCTTGAATCTAAAAGGGTCATTCTGGCAACAACCTTGCTAGTCTACTTTAAGTTAAAATGTTTTGTTAAATAGATGGTAGGATCAATATTTGTTGATGTAACTAGTATGATTGCTAAATGTTTAATAATTTTTATCCTCTTCATTTTTGGATACTGGACTACTTATTTTCATTCCTGTAATTTAGCCCAATCCACTGCTGTTTAGCTTATTTGCCACTGAAACTCATTTCCATGTTTTGTTACCTCTAGACTCTAGACTCAATGGTTTAAATGTTCTCCTGGATAGCCAATGACTTTGCAACTTCTATAACCTTGACTTCATTCAAACCTCTATTGTTGAATCCTAATTCCATTCACACACCACTACAAAACTCAAGGATTGCATTGTTTCTCCGTCCAGAACATTTCCTTTTTAAGTTTTAGTCATTGGTTTTAAAGCTGTTGGCGGCCTTGCCCCAGAATTAGAATTCAGAATTAAATTTTATTGTCACATGTACTCAATACATGAGTACAGTGAAAAGTGTATAAAGTCACCATTCTCTGGTGTCATCTTGGTTACAAAACCAGAATCTCAAAAAAAAAATGGAAGAAATAAAGGTAAGAAAAATGTCCAGATCTCAGACTCTAAGTCTTATCTTCATAAAGGTTTTTGGAACCACCAATGCAGGCATTCGGGCCTAGCCACAGCCTGAAGTCTCAGTCAGCCTGCGAGTCTCGCATTGATTGCTGACAGGAGCTCCTTTCTCGCTGTCGCTGATGCTGCTGCCACCTCCGATCGCTGGAGGAGCTTTGCCACTGGTGCTTCTGTCGCCAGCCCCGAACGCCGGGAAGATTTCGCCATTACGCACACGGCCCGCTCTCGCCGCTGTGCTGATGCTGCTGATTAACCCACCACAAATGGCTTGATCATTTTGTTTGCAGGACTTGCTATTGTTCAATCTTTCTATTCCAGGTAGTTTTCACTTCGTTGCTAAGGCACAGAATGACTTAGCTGATGCTAGCTGAAAGTAGTCAGTAAGAAAGTAGTCAGATTCCTCTGATTCCTGCTTGCAAGTTCTTTTCAATCATATTCTACAGGAGTAACAATTCTTCTCTTCTTGCATCTCTTACACTTGGAAGTGAGGTTAGTCACACTCCAATGTACAGTCATTATTAAATCACAGAATAATCCAGACACAAAAATATGAGATGTGCAGCCTCTCGCTGTCTCAGATTCCCCCCACACTAACGTAACCTACTTTATTACTTCTTCAGTTCTGGGCACTTGCACATCCTGAGTTTCAAATGTTCTGTCATTAGCAGCCATGTTTTCAGCTATTTGGGCCCTGAGCTCTGGAAATCCCTCCCTCTCTTCTCTAAATCTTTCTGTCTGTTATCCAATTAAGATACTCACAACTTTTTGGTTGTTTGCCCTGGTATTTCATTAGTGGCTTGATGTCAATTTTCCTTTGATAACACCTTTCCAATGTGACTTTAGCAATTTTAACATCCAGTTGAAATTGATATTTAAATGCAAGTTTTTGAGGTTGTCATGTTAGATCTTTTGGGTAATCTGAATCCCAATAGCTCCCAATTGTGGATTTAAAAGGAATGAAGGGTGAGCAAAGGAATGTCAGAACCCTTTTGTTCTAATATGTGCATAAAAAGATTTGGGACATTTTCAACTGTAAGGATTCTTTCAATGCATTTGTTAGAGTGGTAACACTAAGTTTCCGCACAAATTATATTTTGGACTAAATTCCCTATCTCTTTTGAACAGGGTGAAAAAGGCTCCATCACCATTCGTATTCTCAATGACGACAGAGCCCAGCGTATCAATACAAAAGACAAAGCTGAGGTATTTGCAAGCATCATCATTCAGATGTGCCAAGTGCTAAACGTACGATCCAAGATAGTTGCTTCCTGAGATTCCCAGCTTACCAAATATCAGTCATCAGCCTATTTAGTACATTCCATGTGACACCAAGAAACAACTGAGTGTACAGTATGCAGCAATAGCAGGTCAAGTCTGGACAATTGCAACTGAACTGTTATGCTTTGTTAAACTAAAAACAGTCATAATGTAGTCAGAAGCAAAACTATTATTTTCTTCACTGTGATTAAATTAGGAATCACCTTAACCTTAATTTTGTGTTATAATTATCAGCTGCATTTAATATTGTATTTTAGCCTTTAATATTTTTGAAAACCATGTTTAATGCGCTCTTACAATTCACTAGAGTGACTCAGGCATATCAAATTGAATGTTACACAAAAAAACGTGTTCATACAAATCTCAGTTCACAGTTCCAAATAACAAAGTGTTTTAAAGTTGCACATCTCGAAATAGAAGAGTGCCAATTTCCTGTGAAATGGAAAGTAGAGATCTGTGTGTCTAGGCAAGTCAGTTGACTCACAGTGATTAAAATCATTTTTCAGATAGTAATTGATCACTGTAGTCATTTTAATACATGAATTTTTATAGTTTTGAAACTGGTTATACTTAGATCAAGATAGCTTTAATTGAACAATTTATTGTTGAACAGAACTCAACACAGTGGAAAAGTAGTACTTGGTGTTTGGAACAATAATCAGATTCTGTGTTGGATAGATTTGCTTTCTCAGCACTAATAATGAACATTGGCTTCTCCCAAGTAGTTTTACAAAGAATGTATTGTGTCTTTATCTTTAAGCTACTACCATATTATTTTGGCTGATTGTCCTGTTTCATTAGATTGCCTTTTCTGTGGATTAGTTATAAACATTCTCATATGTGCAGCAACATCTGCAGGCAGTGGTTTTGGTTATTGTGTCACATAAACAGTGATGTACTGCAAAACATTACAAGAAGAATAGCACGTGATATTATCCTAGGGACTGGACATAACAAAGGCACACTCTAATCCTGCAAAGTTCTACACACTAGCATCAGGTGATTTATGTCAGAGCTGTCTCACAGCCCATCAAGCAGCAGCTTGACTTCCCTATCAGACAATATTCCAAACTACTCCATCACCATCCCTGGGTATATCCTGTCCTAAATACAGAACAGATTTACTATAAGTGGTGGCACTGTGATATACAATTTTGAGAGATTATCCCTGGCCTTTCTCAAATTCAATTTAATATGAAGCCTCATAGCAACATACCACGCCTCCTGCTAATGAACTTGTAATTCTCCACATTGAATATCATTAGAAAAAGCAGTGAAAGTAGCAATGCAGCAGAATTACTCTCACTTAAATGTCCATAACCAAGAATGACACAGCAGCATCAATACTGACTGAACTGGTCTAGTCCTAAAGGATATAACTGCCAAATTAAGTTATAGCAATGCTGATAAAACTAATACTGAGGAAAACCAAACCTCATAAATTTGTTTGTTGCACAGGTATCTGCCCATGATCACGTTGGTAGAAGCAACTATCTCTCAGTCCTTTTCTGTCTTTTTTGTGTAATGTAGAATAGATTCAAAGCTGATCTAGTACTTCCAAGCCAGGCATTCATGAGGCACTGTGAGCTGTCAACAGCAGCAGAATTTTACTCAGTCACAATCTATAACCTCATGGTCTAGGTTATCCCTCACTTTACCACTGCCACCAATCCAAGTGACCAACACTGGCTCAATGACGAATGTAGAAGAGTATGTTAGAATGAGCATCAGACATATCTAAAAATGATGTACAAAATTAGTGTAGCTACAATGCAAACTCAGTGCATGTTAAAAGCATTATGCTAGTCACAGAATTAAACTAATAATAAAATATTATTGCACAAGATAGGATCTCAAGGTTCTGGTGTTAATGTATTAGCCTAGTTTGAGGATTGGTTAACACACAAAAGGGAGGGGGTCAGGATTAATATGTTTTTTTCCAGGTTGGAAAGACGGAACAAGTGGAGTGCCACAAGGATCAGTCCTGGGGCCTCAATTATTTACTATCTATTTTAATGGTTTGGAAGAGGACTAGGGAATGATATTTCCAAATTTGCTGATGATACAAAAATAGTTGGGAGGGCAAATTGTGATGATGACGTAAGGAATCTGCAAGGGGATATAGATAGGTTGAGTGAGTGGGCAAGGACTTGACAGATGGAATTAAATGTACAAACATGTGAGGTCATGTGCTTTGGTAGGAAGAATTAAAAGGCAGACTATTATTTAGAGGGACTCCCAAAAAATATAGTACAGAGGGATCCAGGTGGTTTGGGCATGAAACACAATAGGTTAGTATCTGGTGTAGCAAATAATTAAGAAGGCAAATAGAATTTTAGCCTTTATTGCTGGAGAGTTGTAGTTTAAAAATAGGTAAGTCTTGTTACAACTGTACAATCATGTTAGTGAGGCTACACCTAAAGTGCTGTGTGCAGTTTTGGTCCCTGTATTTAATGGGACCCTAAACTCACACTTACCTTGTAGACATACCATTTCACAGCAACTGTTAAAGTGGTCTTTGTGACCTTTAAATTTCTATGCCACAAAGGACTTGTCAGAATGGAAATCTGGCTCTGCATTTCTGAAGGAACCATGATCAGAATCTCCTGTCAGAAATGAAGAGCTCTTTTGTTATGTACAATAGGGAGTGCAGGGACAATCTGAGTGAGATTGCCATTCCTGGTAAAATACAGCCCATTGTTACAAATTATTCCTCTGCATGGTCTAATATATCACTCAAGCAAAACTATCCACATTCATTTCTCTTGTTATAGTTGGCTGAACATTTTAAGATGAATATCAAGGAAATTAAAACATCAAGGTGAGTTATGGAGATATCCAAGTAGCAGTTGTATTACTTTGAAAATTTAAAATCACAATTAAATGAGACTTTTGTATTGATGCATCAGTGTGAAACATGTGGCTATAAATAAATGTGTTACATTCCAATTCCACACTCAAACACTCTAACGGCAAATAATGTGAGGCTCCTGTAGAAAGAAACAAGGTTGCTGTTTTGAGGTTGCTTCAGTTTGGGTGCCACATCAGGCTGTTAAGAAATCACATTTGAAAAGTTGAGGAAATTATCCTGAGAAAATCATGAATATTTTTATTGCTAGGTGAAGCAGGCATTTTCATTCATTCTGCAAGCATTAAGAACGAGCTGCCAGGAGAACAAAGCCCTACAATACATCAAAATGGACAAGCAAAACACACCAGTGAAACAGCACCTCGGGGCCAGTTAGGCTGCGATCTGAGAGAAAGTATAGTTCTTGTATCAATAGTCAGACCATACTCTGGTACAGTTGTAAAAGCAAACATTGTGCATAGTTTGGCATACACCAATCTGAGCACCAGAGCCAAAATTCAGTCTGATAACATATTTTGTAGTTCATTACTATTGACATTGTTAAGAAACTCCTATATTAAGGCAGGGAAGTTATACAACACTGAATGTTCTTAAAAAAGAACAAACACATGAACTAAAACCCGAAAGAACTGCAGATCCTGTAAATCAGAAACAATAACAGAAATTGCTGGTAAAACTTAGCAGGTCTGGCAGCATCTGTGGAGAGAAATCAGAATTAATGTTTTGGGTTCAGTGCTCACAAAACCTTCTATAGCCACAATATATATCCCAACTCCATGCTCGGAGCATTTGATGAGAACATTCATGTAGAGCTTTGAATGTGAAACTAGAAAGAACAATAAAATGGACATTAGGCCAAGGAATGGGCTTTTGGGTCAGGCAGTAGAAGTTGTACCTTAACGAATGTTTCAAGGAAGGAGCAGCAGGGGAGAGGCAAAATATTTTATGATGAAAATTCAGAAGCATAATGTCAGCCTGGCTATAAGCGTGAAAATAGTGATCAATGGTGAAGCAACAGGAGCGATGAATGTGCGTAGGTCAGATCACAGTCCCAGAGGAGTCACAGGCACAAGTGCTTAGATGTGACAAATCCAAATCTTTGTTGTTTATGATTAGATTTCTATGATTATGGTGGATTGGGAGCAAAATCTGGAACTCTGGGGCCTTCTCCCCATTTACTACCTAAGGTCAATATTAATGTCTGACAAGGTGGGGAGATGAACAAAAACTGCATTTGCTCCCATTCTGTGACAGCCTTGAAATTAGAAAAACAACTATTTCCTGCCCAGATTCTCTTGGACCCAGCATAATGTCAGCTTGGATTATTTGGGGTCTCAAAATACCTTTTCATTGGCAGCATGCTAGTTTTCACAAGCCTTGATAACATGAATGTTTACCTCAGCCTCACCCCCCATGTCAATGACAAATGTAGACTCAAAATTCTCATACAAATGGTATTAATTTACCTTGCCACAAGGATATTATTTCCACCTCTTTTCACATAGACATTTAGAGTACTAAAGGACAGCATTTGGTCCATTGTGTCCGCACCACTCAATAAAGATCTGACTACATTAATCTCATTATCCGCTTCAGACCCACAACTCTGGAGGCAATGGCAACATGAATGAACATCTAAATACTGCTTAAATGTTATAAGAGTTTCTGATTCAACTATTCTTTCAGACAATGAATTCCAGTTTCCCACCACCCTCTGAGTAAAAAAGATTTCTCCTCAAAATCTCTCTTCCTAGCCATGTATCTCTCACCTTAATTCTGTGCCCCCTGGTTATCTCTACTAATGGCAAAAGTGCCACCTTATGCAGTCTACATATGCCCATCATAATCTTGTACATGCATATTAGGTCTCCTCTCAACCTTCACTGCTGCAACATAAACGATGCCAATGTATCCAATCTTTCCTCATCTCAGACCCTCCAGCCCAGGCAACATCCTGGTAAATTTTCTTTGCACCATCTCTATTACAATCGCTTTCTTCCTAGAATGTGGTGACCAAACCTGCATGCAGCATGCTAGTTGTGGCCTAACTAGCATTTTACAGAGTTCCGGCATAACCTCCTTGCTCTTGTATTCTTTACCTAGGCTAATAAAGGGAAGTATCCCGTATGCCAACTTGACTACCTTATCTACCTGGCTTACTGTCTTTAGGTATCTTAGGATATGCACACAAAAAATGTCTCAAGATTTTCAGTACTTTCCAAGATCCTGTCATTCATAATGTAATATTTTTCCTTGTTAACCCTTCCTAAGTACATTACCTCACACTTTTCAAAAGTTTGTATTCAATTTGCCACTGCTCTGGCCACCTGACTAGCCTATTGATGTCCTCCAGCAGCTTTTGTCTAACCTCATCACTAATAACCAGCCAACCAGTGTTCAAACCTCAAACTTCTTGATCACCTCCCCTCCAAATCATTATTGGAAACCACACTAAGCCCTACAAAACCCCACTAGAAACAGACTTTAGATCACAGAAACATCCTTCTACCATCCCCCTCTGCTTCCTAAATTCCATGTTGATCACATCAAATGCATTACCCTTATCAACACTCCTAGTTACTGCCTCAAAAAAAATTATCAAATTTATCAAACTCATTGTTCCTTTAATAGATCCATGCTGTCTATTCCTGATTAATCCCTGTCTTTCCAATGCACATATGTTGTCCCTCAGAATTCTTTCTAATAACTTTCCCATCACCAGGGTGAGACTGACTGGCCTCTGATTTCTTGGTGTATTCCTCCTTCTCTTTCTAAATAATAGAACAACATTAGCAGTTCTCACCTGTGGCCAGGGAGAATTTGAAAATTGTTGCCAGAGCTCCAGGTATCTCCTCGCTTGCCTCCGTCAATAGCCTGGAATACATCTCACTGGTCCTGAGAGTTATCCATTTTTAAGTTTGCTAAACCCACTAGTACTTCTTGTCTCTATGTTAATTTCCTCTCATATTTCACAGCCCTCCACTCTGATGTCTGCATGGTTCTTTTCCAATGTGAAGACTGACACAAAGTATTGATGACTGACATTGACAACTGTGCACACATCTTCTGGGTCCATATATAGATCACCTCTATCCTTTCGCTACTTATTCTTATGCATTTTGTATATTTATAAAATAGGACTTGTGATTTCCTTCATTCTGTCTGCATTCTTTTCTCGTGCACTCTTTGCTTCCTAATTTTGCTTTCATATTCCTCTAGGCATTCTGCTGTATTGAGTCCTCAGTACCCTAAGCAATTTTTTAATTTAGTTAGCTGTCAATTAAGTGGGATTATAATTAGTTAAACATATTGTTGACGGCTCAACTCACCTCATCTGTGATCAGCTTCCAATCTTCCTAAACCGGTCAAACAAGCTAGACATCAAGAAACTCCATACAAGCATCCCAGGCATTGGCATCTGGCCTGCGCCAATCCATCATGATCATCACCGATATACTTAGGAAACATAGAATCATGTTGCAGGGTGCACCAGAAACTAGCATCGAAAGGCTGCAGCAGGGACAGGCACCCAGATCTCAGATTGGGCCAGACTGAATGAATCTCAGGGCTGCTCACTTGCTCTCTTTGGGCTTGCTTACTTAACACCAACCTATACTGCATCCATGTCTTTCCATTCCAATAACATGACATGCCTATTATTGTATTGCACTTCAACCAGAGCTAAAGGAGATCAGTATTGCCGTGCCAAGGTGTTCTTTAGTGTAGACACCGGGCAGGTTGCTTTGCATTAGGAATCTTTCTGGGGTGGAGGAACATCTTAACAGAACAGCAAGACATCAATTGAGCACCTAAAATATTTGCCAGCTGCCTGAGTAGCACACTGCACGTTCTTCAATCAAGTGGTCATGTCAGAAAATGGGTGGAGGCTAGTCCAGTCAAGGTGGCAGGGAACGGTGGAGGAGGGGTGGGAGTGGGAGTTGGTTGCTGCTGCCAGTGAGGGGAGGTAGTCAAGGCCTGCACATAGACCAGCGGCTTCACCACGGTCAGTCATCAGCTTGGGATGCTCATGGTCTGGTGATCTGTGCCGGCACAGCTTGAGGAGTGTACGGTAGTCCACTCTGTACAGCCTGCACAATCAGTCGAAGTATCATGTAACATCAGCTGCAATGACAGTGGTTAGCCATCTGGTCAATCATGTCTAGGGGCTGTTCAGTGAAGTTGGTCAGAGATTTGCAGTGAATACAGACTCAGGGGTCCTTCCATCATTCTTTCAGGAGGGTGCAAGGGCGGCCTGTAAGGCCAGCGGGGGTATTCACTGCCAAAAGGAATGGGTGAATCAAGACTGATGGTGGAAACAAAGGCATTTGTAGAGGTGGAGACAAGAGTGGTGAAAGGGAAAACACAAGGTGTTTGGGAATGTGCAGAACTGCTTTGGAGGGCATGGTAGGGCTTGACATCAAGGACATCATACTCCGTCTTTTATACTTGCCACAAAGGCGCAAAGAGATTTTTGGTAGGCAAGATTCCAATTGATGGAGATTAACATTTGTTAAATGTCTTGTTAACATCAAACTCCTCTCACTAATCTTACCAAAAATTACCAAAAAAGCTGGGTGGCTGGAAATCTCAGCAAGGAAACTAGAAAGAGCACTCAACTCGCTACTTGCTCCAAATAATCAAATGTTTGAAACCAGGCACAAGCATGTCAACATATACTCATGGGCACCAGCCACACACACGTCTACATCCATGGATAATGGCATCCAACATGTCCCAGCTTCTAAGAACCATCATGGCATACTTCCAATCCACTTACAGAATGCTTCTGCATTTCAATGCAGCATCTAGGGCTGCGCCAATAACTTATGATTGTAATGTTGCAGCAAGGACACTTTGTGTTCAGAGACATATACACAACCATGGACTGGATCAGGCTTCAACTCTTTATTTGATATCATAGAGCTTACTCATTCACCTGAGATAACA